CATTTTAATCAATTTAACTATTGAAAATGAAGAGCTGATAAGTATTATTGATAATTTGGACTGGGAAGAAATTGGAATTTAATTGTTTTTTTTAGTTTTTTCCTCTTATATTATCATTACTTTTTAAATTTCCCTCTCTCTCTCTCTTTCTCTTTTAACATTCCTTGTTTCTTCTTTCTTTTTCTTTCTGTTATTCCTTGGCTAAAAAATAATTGTTGATCGATTGATTGATTGATTTTGTAAATACTGGTGAGGAATTCAAATAGTTAAGCGAGGAAAATATCAGCCGGAAACATCAAAAACTGTCAAGAAAAACAATATTTCATGATTGCTATTTTACTCATAATTTACTGTATAACGGATAATTGACGTATTCTTAAGTGAGAAAGATGGATGAGATGTGATAAAAGAAAATGAATGGTAAAGGAAGAGAAAATCCTATTCAATTCCATCACAACATATGCTACAAAAGAAAAAAAAATCTCATCGATCTGATAAGAAAACCGGAACAGTACTTGATTAATTAAGTGAAATTCTTCTGATAGTATCAAAAAAATAGTTGATATAACTTTTTATATTGAAAAAAAAAACTACACAAAGAATAAAAATTAATAAAAGTTTATTGCTTACAAATAAAGAATAAAAAACGCTTTATAGAAAGAAAGGGAAAAATAAGACTTTAATGTTTATATGAATTAAATTTTTTTTGGAGACAAATGAACCAATAAACACAATATGTAAAATAATATACAATTTTAAAACAACTGTCATGCAATATAATCATCCGATAATCCACGAAATAAACTATTTTTTATGAGTAATCCTTTTTCGAACTCTCTCTCTCTCTCTCTCTCTCTCTCTCTCNNNCTCTCTCTCTCTCTCTCTCTCTCTCTCTCTCCTTTACTGTCTCTTTTCTCTAGTACATGTTTTTTTCTTCATGATTTGTTAGCTTTTTTTCCAAAAAAACATAAATGATAAAACTTCATTTTTAAAATTTATTATTCCATTATTATATCATTAAAATGAAGAAAATAGTCTCCCTAATATTTCTCTTAAAGATTATTTATCATCCAAAGATAATGCTGCTATCTTCCTCAATCCTCAATATTCGTTCCACTAATAGAATAAATCGAATTTTGTAAATCATTTATAAACCTTTGACATTTTAAAATTCTCTTCAATTTTGATTGAAACTGTTATTTTGAAATAATTTTTACGCTTTATGGTAAAAGAAATTGATTAGTTAGAATGTATAGTATATTTTAATCTTTCGAAAGATTTTGAAAAAATAAAAATGTTTGTTAAAAAGCAAAACCTGACTTTATTTGATTATAATTAAACATTTATTTTCTTCATCTGCTCATTTTTTTAAATGACAGCATTATTTTAAATTTTGAGAAGGATGCAAATAATTAGACAAAGGTCTAAATTTGTTATTTAACTCCAAAAGCAATTCAGAAAGATTCATTTAAAATTAAATTTCACGTTAAATATTTCACAATAAGCAAAAAAAAACTTTGTGAAAAAAGAAATTTTCTTGCTGAGAGTGATTTGAAGAGTATTATTGCATAACAGCCACCAATTATTATGAAATGGGAAAAAATCTTTACTTTGATCCAATCTTAACCAGCTGCTAATAAATCATAAATCTATCCGATCACATTCAACTGCTCCACAAATTCATGTTCAAAGTAAAATGATCAGAATTAACATTTCTAAGTTTTCCTCAAAATAATATGATTTTTTGATTTCAGTTATTGAAATCTGTACTGGCCAAAAAAAATTCTAATCAT